TTGTTTCATATGTGGTTATGAAATTGTTTCATATACTACTTAATGAAATTTTAATGAAACTGTTTCATGTATTTCTCTAAAATTAAAATAATGAAGATGATAATATCCATGATTAACACCTTCCACAATAAAATTGGTTAATCAACCTCTCATAACTACAAAAAAATGAACAAAATGTAAAATTATGATTGGTTGAATGAGGTTTTCACGGTTTTTACAAATTGAGTGGTTTTTATTTGAACCCACCCCTATATAGATATATATATATATATATATATATATATATAATGTAACCTTTAGCTACCTTCTTTTATGCGCAAATTTCGGATCTTTTTTTACTCCATTTTGCAAACACAACCCCCAACCCAACCCAACCCAATATACACCTTGTACTGCACATATAGAAACACCTTCCTTCCTTCAGTTGAACCGAACCACGATGCATGAAGTATCAGCTTTGCTTTCTCTATTCAATGCTTCAGCTGCTAGTTCCTTTGCTGCCTTCTGTGGGTCCTTGATTTTTATCGCCAAGTCCACTGCCTCTTGGTTCGACATCACCTGGATCAACACCATCATTTATATACGAATATTGCTCACATTTAATAAGTCTACTTAGTTGTTTCCAAAAAGCACGTGAAATGGCTAGTTGTCCGTTCACTCTTGCTACATCTCCTGGTATAAGAAACCTTTTCAATATATCCTAGAAAGCCCATATCTTTTTACTCAATATAGAAAATAGTGATACTTCTAAACCTATGTATTTGACAACCAATGTTCTTCTAGGAGGGTGCGTTTGGCATATAGATTGCTTGGACAAGACTGGACGGGTGAGACTGAAGTGGGTTGGTGAAAGAACTGTACAAGGTTCCAGGATTTTAATTTAACACGGGTAGTTCAACAATTTACCAATTTTGGGTTTTTGTTCCACCTATTTTGGTGGGACATAAAATGCATTTTTGTCCCACTCAACTACGTCCTGTGCCGATCTAGATGCCACAAGAAATGTAGGACAACAAGTTTTTGTTCTGTAATGTCCCAACCTGTCTTGCGTACCAAACGCACCCCGAGTGTAGCATTCTTGCAAAAATGATGATCTCTTTGGAATGAAAAGTAATACCAGTAAGTGATCAGACTTTCAACAAGTCTGAGGCTTCAGGTCCACCTCTACACAAATGTCATATGCAAATAGGAAGCATAGCACCTCTTTTTCTTGTTTATACAAAGTTTATAGAACGTTGGATGGTCGTATAGCGCAATCCAGACTCCTCCGCACACACAATTCAAGACATGCCTAGATTAAGATGATCGTATATAAAAAAAGAAATACAAAATAGCACAAAAAAAGATGCAAAAATGATCCTAATTTCCAATGTAGCATTCTACAAAACTGAACTTAGCTACTAAGAGCATAGTATTAGTATTTAAGCACCAACCTTTCCTTTTCTCCATCTTGATCCTTTCCTAGATATCAAGTTGCTTCCTCTTTAGAGATAGTTTTGTTCGGTTTTGAAAACTAGTACTCTCATCCACAAATTGGGCAGCGGTTCGAGCCCGTAACTCTTCCAAATTCTCTCCTTCCTTGGCTCTCTCCAAGACCTGCAAGTAAATTCGGTCATTTAGGCATGCGATTATAGCCTCAGACTTGTTTTAACCACTCATCTGTACAATAAAAGTTGTAACGTTAAACCTGACATGTAGTTTAAGAAGATGGTGTCAACTTTTAATCGTATATCTAAAATATTCTTCGACACAAATGCCGTATAAGGTGTGTTTGGAAGGTTTTAATTTCACATGGGTAGTTTAGTAATTTACAAAGCTTGTCCATCTATGTTTAGTAATTTTTGTTCTGTAATGTCAATCTATGTTTAGTAATTTTTGTTTTGTAATGTCCATCTATGTTAGTTGTACAAGGGATGCATTCACTGCAATAATACCAGCAACAAATCCCAGGCACTTGCATACTATGTTAGTTCCAAACAATCCAAATTTTGGGTGTATCCAAAAATCCTTTGCCTTAGGACAGCAGTTAGAGATCAGACTATATTGCAACCATGTCCACCTAGCACTTAAATCTAATCACAAAGCAATTTCATGTTGAATGTTGTAGGTAAGTTTGCACNGCACTTAAATCTAATCACAAAGCAATTTCATGTTGAATGTTGTAGGTAAGTTTGCACAAACAGGCCACTTAACACCTTGATGGTGTCATAGAATAGCCACTGTAAAGTCACAACAGGCCCCACGAGCATGATCCTGATAGGAAGACTTCTTGTAAATAGATTCTGCAATCCAATTACAGCTAATATACTTTTATTGGTTTCTACGATCAAATAAATACAGCTAATACTCTAATCTATTGAAGCCACCATCGCCCATCGAAATAACTATCATATAACAAAAATAAAAGCACGACCATTTAGTCCACAAGTTTTAACAAAACTTATTTGTATATGATCTGTTTGAAGTTTGAACAACATTTCTAACCGTTGTATTTAGTCTGGAAGTTTTAACAG